TGCGCTCCATTGAAAGGGAAAAGTTAATAGACTTTCAAATCGACATAGGGGGCCCCCTGAGGGCCTCCCTGTTTCCCCTGCTGGCCGAAGCTGCTGCCAAAAAGGCAAACCCTAAACCCTAAACCCTAAACCCTAAACCCTAGCTGCGCTCCATTGAAAGGGAAAAGTTAATAGACTTTCAAATCGACATAGGGGGCCCCCTGAGGGCCTCCCTGTTTCCCCTGCTGGCCGAAGCTGCTGCCAAAAAGGCAAACCCTAAACCCTAAACCCTAAACCCTAGCTGCGCTCCATTTAGAAAGAGAGGCGGTTTTGCTGAGCGGCTTTGGGGCTCCTTGAACTGCTGCTATGGTTTGAGGCGGCTGGTGATTATGGCAGTGTGGGATTAGGGTTTAGGGTTTAGGCTTAAGGGTTCAGGCTTTAGGGTTTAGGGTTTAAGGTTTCTGCTTGTGAAGCGTTTTGCCTCTCCCGCAGTCTCCTTCTATGCCGCTGCTTCCATTGGTCGTTGCACATTTATTCTTTGATTCTTTTGTCTTTGTCATCGCTCGCCCATTTGCTGCTGCTGCTGCTGCTCCTGGTGCTGCTGCTGCTGCTGCTGCTGCTGCTGCTGCGCAGACGCTGGAGGCAGCAGGAGACCTGGAGCTGACGGAGCAGCTCAGCAGCATCAAGCAGCTGCTGCTGCTGCGGCAAGGGTCTCTTCACGAGGCCGTCAAAAAGGCCTTTGAGGCCCTTTTGGCAGAACAGGCAAGCTGCTGCTGCTGCTGCTGCTGCTGCTGCTGCTGCTCGTGCTGGTTGTGGTGCTGCTGCTGCTGTGCTGGTGCTGCTGCTGCTCTTGCTGCTGCTGCTGGTGGTGCTGTTTGTGGTGGTGCTGCTGGTTTTGTTGCTGCTGCGGCTGCCGACTGTGCTGCTGCCACTGTGCTGCTGCTGCTGCCGGAGACTGTGCTGCTGCTGCTCCTGGTTGTGCTGCTGCTGCTGGTGGCACTGCTGCTGCTAATTGCCGAGCTGCTGCTGCTGCCGTCGACGGTACCTTTGGTGCCACCAACTCTGCTGCTGCAGCAGGAGCAGCAACAGCAGCAGCAGCAGCAGCAGCAGCGAGGCTGGCTCGGCAGTTGATCTAACATTGATTTGCTTTTTGTCCTTTTGCAGCAAAGTCAAGAAGCAGGAGACTCCATGAAGTACAATAGTTTGCAAACAGAAGAAATAATTAAAAGGGAGCAGCAAGCAGCAGCAGCAGCAGGTCTTTTGGACATAAGGGAGATGGATCCTGCTGCTTTTGCTGCTGCAGTTGCTGCAGCAGACGCAGCAGCGGCAACGCAGGCGCTGCGCCGCCTGCAGGCAGCAGCAGCAGCAGCAGAAACCCTCAGGGAGCTCAGCCAAACCCTCGCCAAAGCCGCTCCCCCACACGATCCCGGGATCGACCCCACACTCGATCCCCACCCCACACTCGATCCCACACACGATCCCCACCCCACACTCGATCCCAACTCCCCCCAGCTGCAGCAGCTGCTGTCTTCCTATGGAGACAAAATCCGACAAACACTCGCTGTGAGTTTCTTTATTTATTTTATTTTTATTTATTTATTTTGGTTTTTATTTTTTATTTTTATTTCAGTTTATTTATTTTATCTTTACTTCATTTCATTTTTACTTTATTTTAGTTCTTTTTTTAATTTTAATTTTTTATTTTTCACTTTTCCCTTTTGTGTCCTTCTTTGCTTTGCTCTTCATTTGTCTCCAATTTATTTATTTATTTATTTATTTGTTCATTTATTTATTTGAATAATTGAAATAATTTATTTATTTAATTCTTTTATTTATTTTTTAAAATTTTTTTGTTAATTTTATTTCATCACAATTAAGCAGATTGAATAAATGTTATTCCCCGCCTTTTTCGTCAACTCTTTTTTGATTAAGTGAATTACTTTTTATTTATTTATTTATTTATTCACTATTTGTTTGTTTTATCATTTATTTTTTATTTAATTCATTTTTGATTACTTATTCAAATTCTTTTTATTTTCAATTATGTTTTCCTTACAGGCCAGCGACCACTGGGCTCTTAGCAACGAGGCAATCAACACCCAGGCAAGTCCCACCTAAACCCTTAACCCTAAACCCTAAACCCTAGGTTTCGCGCTTGAGGGTCTCGAAATGGCTGCCAAACCCTAAACCCTAAACCCTGAATCCTAAACCCAAGCTCGTGACAGACTACGCGGAAGCTACACGAATGAATATAAGTTCAGTTACTACTAGTACTTACTTTTTATTCGTCACTATTTATTTTTTTTATTTATTTATTTGTCTATTTATTTATTCATTTATTTTTTATTTGTTATTTTTTATTTACTTATTTATTTACTCAGGCAACAATAATAACAGAACAGAGAGAAGTTCGCAGAATGCGGAAATCTTTAAATTCAATAATTGAAAATCTAGTGGAACAAAGAAACCAAATTTTCGCCCGGCAGGTCAGACTCTGCATGCAACCATGCATGCATGCATGCATGCATGCATGGTTGCATGCAATCAATAAGTGCATGCATGCATGCAGTGGTTGCGTGCAAGCATGCAAGCAGTCTGTGCATGCATTCCTGTAATGTGCATGCATGCATCAAGTGCATGCAAGCGTGCGGCAAGCATGCAAATCAAACCAGTGCATGCATGCGTGCATGCATGCATGCATGTATGCAGGGTTTGTTGAAGCTGCCAGTGCATCTGCATATTTGTGAGGGACCTTTTATTGTAGTGTTTTGAATAGAGTGGGAGCAGCAGAATGGGAAAATCTTGAAAGTGGCATTTAATCGACTTGTTGCGGAATAAATGGTTATTTTATTTGAATTTACTTCAATAAAAAGGGACTTTATCTGAAACGGTCGCGATCTGCTGCTGCTGCTTTGCTACAGCAACAAGCGAAAGACACAGCGGTGCTGCAGCAGCTGCTGGACTTCGGCAAATCTGTTTCTTTGCTGCAAGAAGATATTTATTTCCAGTTTTGCAATTTGCGGAAAAGATACGAAAGGGCTTTGACCACGCGGAAGCTGGCGGCGCTGCCGGGCATTCAGCAGCGCTTTGCAGAAACGGCGGAGGAGCTTCTCAAGGTATTTTTCGTGAAAAAACCAAACTTTTGAAATAAATTTGCCGAGAAAAAACAAATTTTCCAAATAAAAACATTTAAAAATGTTATTTATTATATTCTGAATCAATACAGCGAAAAAAAAGCGACTTTCCGCCGCTTTCTGAATTTTCTGAAATTCAAGTTGCTCCCAGTACATGTTCTGAAACCCAACTTGAAAAATGAAGATTTACCTGCAACGGTTGGGTCTTTTTCTCTCATTCTTTTTGCAAATGCATGCAAATTATATTTAATTGCGATTTCCCGAAAAGTCCGAAAGCCGGGGCTTCGAAAAGGGGGAAGATCGGCTTGCTTTCCACTTTCCACTTTTCAAGTTCCGAGCTGTACGTACACCGCGCGCGCATGCAGGAGTTCACGAAGAGCCACCTGGAGGAGCAAAATAAATTCGAAGAGAAAATGAATTCTGAACAAATGGAATTCAGCAAAAGTATTCAGCAATTGATTCAGCAAACGCGAAGGGCAATGGCCGAAACCCAGCGCGTAAGCTGCTGCCCTTCCTTATCTTGCTGCTGCTTCTGCTGCAGCTTTTGCTGCTGCTGCTGACTTTGTTGATGTTGCTGCTGCAGCCACTGCGCCTGCGTCTGCTGGTGGCATTGCTGCTGTTGCTGCTGCTGACCCTGTTGCTGCTGCTGCTGCTGCTTCTGCACTTGGTACTGCTGCTGCGGCTGTTGCTGCAGCTGCTGCCTCCTCTGCTGCTGCTGCTGCAGCAGCTGCCGCTGCTGCAGCAGCTGCTGCTGCTGTGTTTAAACAATTAAATAGAAACATAACTTCCAAATAAAGCAAAATCGAAGCAGAATGAAAGGGACAGAATCACCCTTTTTCTTGAATGTTGAATTTGTGCATTTTTGTTTTTGGAAATTTGTTTGATTTCTTTTCTTTTTCTTTTTCTCTTTGTTCTTTCTTTTTTCTTTTTAGGAAATAGAAAGTGTTGAACAACTTAGTTGGTCCAGAAGGGAGACAATGCAAACACAAATAATAAAAGCTTACCACTCCACTTTGTCGCAAAACAGACTCAACCAGCTCGCATACAAGTAAACCCTAAACCCTAAACCCTAAACCCTACCCCTAAACCCTAGACTTGCTCACGGCTAAACTGCTGAACCCTAAACCCTCGGCCCATTCAGAAATTTGCGAATCCACCTGCAGGCCAAGAGCTCACTCTGAGGGTTCAATCCTTGAGTCTCAAGGGTTAAGGGTTTAGGGTTTAGGGTTTAGGGTTTAGCGTTTAGGATTTAAGGTTTAGGGTTTGGGAAAGACGCGCGCAGGCCCAGCAAGAACTCACGCACCTTCTTCGCGCAGCTATTTAGCGCAAACCCTTAAAGCGACATGCGCGCAAACCCTAAACCCTAAACCCTAAACCCTCGAGGTGGGGTTTTGTTTTCAGACAAGAACTCGAGAGGAAGTTGGTGACAGAAAAAAGACAAAATGAATGTTTGAGTCTTCTTTTATTCAACAAAGAAAGAGCAGACGCAATTGCAGAAGAGTACAAGTTCGCCACCGAACAGGCAAGCCCTAAACCCTAAACCCTAAACCCTAAACCCTAGCGTGGGAAAAGGACATGAGGGGTTCAAAAAAACGCCATTTTCTGCGCAACTCTCTCCCGCTCACAACCGAAACCCTAAACAATTAATTTATTCATTTATTTCCATTTATTTACTTATTTATTTATTTTTTATTTGTTTATTTATTATTATTTGATTTCAGGAACTCGACACGCTCGCGTTTGAACAGCGCGGGGCCCTCGCAGACCTGCGGGCTGCGGGCGAAGAAGAGTGCATGCATGCAGTGAGGGTTTGGAGTTCCTTTTTGGGGCTTTGCATGCAAATTGAAAAAGAAGAAAACCATTTAAAAACAATTCGAAACAAACAAAGATTTTCCGCAGTCCTCGAGGAAACAAACGCCGCAGTCGCCTCCCAGAAAACGCTCCTCGCCCGCAGAAACCAAGTCAGGGTTTAGGGTTTAGGGTGTAGGGTTTAGGGTTTAGGGTTTAGGGTTTGGGGCCTGGGGTTTAGGGTTTAGGGGTTGAGGTGGAGCGGTTAGGGCTTGGGGTTTAGTGCCACGGAGGTGAATTTAGGGTTTAGGGTTTAGGGTTTACGGTTTAGGGCTTGGGGCGCGCGGTTTAGGGTTTAGGGCTTAAGGTTTTGGGGTGTATGTACAGCACGTTAAGGCGTACCAGCAGCGCGTGATGATTGAGGTGGAGGACTTCATAAGAAAGTTGAAAGTAAAGATTTCAAAGAAAAAGAAGCGCTTTAGTCGCTGAATTAGGGTTTAGGGTTTAGCGTTTAGTGTTTAGCGTTTAGGGTTTAAGGAAGTTGAAAGCAGAGACTTCAAAGATAGAAAAAAAGCGCATTAATCGATGAATCAAGGCTCAGGGTTTAGGGTCTAGGGTTTAGGGTTTAGGGTTTAGGGTTTAGGGTTTAGGGTTTATTGTTTGCAGGTGATCATGGAAATGCGGGAGCCGGTGGTTTGCGCAGTGGAGACGCAGCAGTGTATAGACAGCTCAAACCGCTGCATGCGGGTTTTGGGAAACTTTTTGGAAAAAGATTTTTTGAAAATTCAAAAAGATATTTTTAATTCTTTTTTTGAAGAAATGAAAAACAAAAGACTTTTGGCAAACAAAGAAGCAGCAGCAGCAGAAAACAAAACCCTCAAAGTCCTCAAAACCCTCAAAGACCAGCAGCAGCTGTGGGGCCCTTTTTATATTTCATCTACATTTTTATTTTTTATTCATTTAATTCACTTCTTTTTCAATTTAATTCATTTTTATTTAATTTCATTTAATTCTTCATTTGTTTTAATTCAATTTTTTATTTAATTTCACTTAGTTCTTTATTTGTTTTAATTTAATTTTTTATTTAATTTCGTTTAATTCTTTTTTTATTTTAATCTGATTTTTTATTTGGTTTTATTTCATTCTTTATTCAGTTTGATTTGATTCTCTTTTTGAACTTAATTTAACTGTTTATTTGAATTTAATTCAATTCTTTTTTAATTTAATTCTGTTTTCAATTAATTCACCTTTTCTATTTATTTTAATTTAATTCTTTACTCAGTTTAATTTAATTCTGCATTCGATTTAATTGAGTTCTGTATTTAATTAAACATTTTATATTCAATTTAAATCAATTCTCTATTTTCAATTTAATTTAATTCTTTTTTCATTTTCAATTATATTTAATGCAATTGCTTCTTTAATTCTACTTGTCTTCTTTTAATGCAGTCTAAATTCAAACAAACAAAACAAAAAGAGACACTCTGCTGCTGCTGCTGCTGCTGCTGCTGCTGCTGCTGCTGCAGGCTGCGGGAGAGTGAAGCGTCTCTGTTTGAGTCTCTGAGTGTCCCTTTGGAGACTCTGGAGACAGAAAAAGAAATAAAAGAAAAATTAAATTTTTTAAAAATTGAAAAAATAAAAAACAAATTTATCCAAGAAGAAGCAGAAGCCCTCGAAGACCAAATTGCTGAGGTCCCCACTTTTTGTCTCCCTTTGTTTTTTTTATTTGTCTCCGTTTTTTTTTGTTTTATTTTTTTGTTTGTTTTATTTTTCTCCTTTTATTTTATGTATTTTGTTTATTTTTTTCCTTTTGTCTCCTTTCATTTTATTTTCTTTATTTTGTTTATTTTATTTGTCCCCTTTTATTTTATTTCATTTATGTTGTTCCTTTTATGTGTCTCCTTTTATTTTATTTCTTTTATTTTCCCCAACTGTCTCCCTTTTTGTTTTATTTGTTTTATTATATCTTCTTAATTTTTGTTTTAATTGTCTCCTTTTGTCTCTTGCCGTCGACCATCTTTTAACGCTCGTCTAGGGTTTAGGGTTTAGGGTT